ATAAGAAAAATATGAAACATTTAAAAAAAAGTAGTTTTAAAAAGAAATTTTTTGAAAATATAAAATAGTCTAGAGCATTAACCTTATTTTTCATATAACATGTTCTCTCTCTCTCTCTCTCTCTCTCTCTCTCTCTCTCTCTCTCTCTCTCTCTCTCTCTCCTCTCTCTCTCTCTCTCTCTCTCTCTCTCTCTCTCTCTCTCTCTCTCTCTCTCTCTCTCTCTCTCTCTCTCTCTCTCTCTCTCTCTCTCTCTCTCTCTCTCTCTCTCTCTCTCTCTATATATATATATATATATATATATATATATATATATATATTCTGTTATCGGCTTATGAACCGAGCCGGGTCGGGTATTGTTCATCGACTAATGAATAAAGTTTAGAGTCAACCACATTTGCTCCCTCCACTACTTCTATCATCCAATCATCTGTTATCGTCATCAATATCCTTCACCGCCTCTCTTTCATTTACATTACTATAAACTTCTTGTACTATTCGCTCACCGCTACTTCTTAATTCAATTAAGGCTCCACCTCAGTCTGCTTTCGTTTTTACCCACACCATTCGTCGATGGAAGGCCTAAGTCCTCGATTTCCCGTCACCGACATCAGGTCTCCAGTTTTTTTTGGTCTTCAATTGTGGTTATAGAAAGCCCTAAAATTGAGTTCTCAGAGAAGGTTAGTAATGATTACAATCTCTTTAAAATTTTCCAATCTTTTAGCCATCAGCTACTTCAGGTATTGAACTACGTCGATTCTCCACCGATTTTGTTGATTTCCTATTTGTTATAGGTGGTAGAGAAACACAACACAATAGCGTCAAATACATAGAAAGGTGCAAGATTTTCCTTCTTTTGGTGATGATATTGCTACCTCTCATTTCTTTAGCTTCTCAAATATAATTAATTTTCTTCCCACTTCATTTATCTGTTTTCCTTTCTTTGGATCTTCAAGAAAATGGGCTTTTATATGAAGTTCTAATTTCGGTTTTGAATAAAATTATCGAATGGAAATAATATTTTTTCCTTTTATTTCAGAACAATCTAGTAGTGACCCAGCAAAGAAGCTTCACTGGAGGAATTAGTACAACCCGTTTGTTTGTAAAATTCGAAGTTGAATATATTATTTTTTAGCCAAATTAATCATCATAAACAAGTAGAAAAATCAATATGAATTCCATTGGTATATAGAACAAACTCATGATATTTCAAAGTGCGTCATAAAATACGAATCGAAGATATGTTGCTTATTAACCTAAACAATAGTCGTAGTAATTATATAAGCAAGATCGTGCATACAGAGAACGTCTAAATCTGACTTCATATGAGGAAGTCATGATATTTCAAAGTTTCAGCAGGAGTGTGGACACAAAAATCGAAAGTCAACTCGGTTGATTGTTAGCTGAAATAATGTAAACGAGAGTCGAAGCACTACTAGAAAACATGCCTTTAATGACACGCAATTTATGACACGCACGGATTTACGATACGCAAAAGTGTGTGACGTAAAAATAACGTCATCTCTCCTAAAATTTAAAGGATTTCAGACACACATTTTTACGTGCCCTAAAATTAGTGTCAAATAAAAAACACGGAGGGCACCTTAAATAAAATGGGCGTCGTGTAGATCGATGTCACTTTATAATTTTTCAAACTCGCGTTGACCATATACTATATTCCACAAAATCGCAGGACATTAGCTAGGGCTTTTTTCTTTTCGATCATCCTGCAACCCTAGCTAGCTTAATTTCCCACCATTTCTCTCTCACGATCTAAGGACAAAACAAATTTCACTTGCAGAAGAGTTGGTGATTTATCTCCATTTCTTTTCAAGTTAGGAACAAAGACACATAGAACGTAAAAGAGGAGGAAAAAGACACACACACATTGGGTGTGAGGTGCGGCTATCATAGCTTTCACTTCCAAAAGAGTTGCTAAGAGTCAGTGATTCCTTCTAGGGTTCGACAAGCTTAATCCATATCTCGACATCTTACCTCCTACATCGTATTTCTTCAACCATTCGTAACCATTCTAGCGTTTAACATGTTCTTCAGCATTCTAGGGTTCGACATCTTACCTCCTAGGAATATGTTGGTTCTTATCTGTTGAGATTCTTTAACATTGTTCACTAGCCTTCCAACCTTTCTCTGTATAGGTATCGACTCCAAGGTAAGAATAGATCCGTTACATTACTTTATACAATCCTATCATCGATTTGATTTAATTTCATTTTCCATGCTCTGATTCCCATCTATTCATAAAGAATATTTATGCATTCTAGCCATTTCGATGAAATTCCTGACTTAAATTAAACACTTCTAGAATAAGAAGAAGAAGATGTAATCATTAACCCACCAAAACCTCCTCCAATAATCTACGATGAATTTATATTGTGATACATGATTTTTTTCTATGATGTATAGACCATTTGCTTGCATATCCAATAATCTTAGTTTGTTATTATAGTATTATAATGATTATCTGGTACCGAATAATTGTTAATGTCTTTTACAGTTCAGGTTAGCATTCTTTTCACCTGAATCAAGAGTTCTAGGTGCTCCAGAATTGGTTGATCATCCTAGAAAAACCGTGTTACATTATCTTTCTTGGTATTTTTTCCTTGACCTATTTATTGTACTACCAATTCCTTAGGTAAGATTCTCTTTCAAGCATATATATATCGTCACTTACCATCATCATTTGTGCATTCCTCAAAAATTTAATTACTTGTCCATGTAGATAATTGTATTATTTAACCTACCAAATGTCATTGCATCATTGGGAGAAAATTATGCAAAGGATCTTTTGCGAGCAACTGTTCTTGTTCAGTACATTCCCAGGTTAATCCGAATTTCCAAGCTTATTGATGGCATGGGTGCAAGCGGTTACATTCCCCGATTGGGATACTCGTCGGTTATATCCAATCTTCAGATTTTCATCTCGGATGGTCATTTTCTAGGGTCATGTTGGTATCTGTTAGGTTTACAGGTGGGTGGGAGCAGGAGTTTTACATGTTTTATGCATGATTTCATTGAAAAATAAATCTAAAGAAACAAAAAAATCTCCTATATCTTAATCACACTATCATGTTTTATATTGATTAAGTCGCAAATGTTGTATCATGTAGAGCTTTTTTAGCTGATCGCTTATTTGGTGTTTTATTTGATGAGCAAGTTGGCAAGTGGCCGTGAGTGCTAAAGGACTCAGGCGAAATGAATAAGTAATCAGTTAACCTAGAATTGATCATCACTCATACGACCTAATTAATGGAAGAACTGTTAATCATGTGCAGAAAATTCAGGATCAACTTGTAGGATCGATTAGTAATTTTTTTAACTGGTTTGTATCTTCATTTCAATCTTTTGTTTTGAAGTGTTCGAACTTTCAAATAAGCTAATTTTCCATACATAGTAAGTATTTGGTTCTGATTAGGGTTCCAGTTGGCCTATCATGTTTGTTGTTGATCAACAGTCCAATTTTTATTAGTACCTATATTAATTTTCTAGATTGATTGTTTATTATTTTTCCTTATATGCATCTGCTTCAGCATGTCATTAACTGCGGATCCTTCTCTTTTGGTTATGAAGCTATATAACTTTATATTCTAAAGTTTCTATGGTTTCCTAGATCCTTTTGACAATTACATCAGGCTTGTAGCTTTATTTATGTGTTAGAACTCACTAATGACTAATCTTTAATTCTATATCTAATTGCAGACAAAATCTCTACATTCTTTTTTTAAAAAATCTTTTTATATTCTAATGATGAACCCGGTCAACCATGAAGTAAGACCCGAAGCATCACTAATGATTCCTGAAAAACGAAAACGTGGCGCCCACGAAAGGATCCGAGTGAAAGACGGGCAGCAAAAGCCCGTTCACAAGCTGCCCGAATGCAACCTGGTTTTGCCCAACATCACACCACCACTCCCCGACTTGATCCAATTCATGATCCAACCCAAGTCATGATCGGTCAAGCCATAGTATGGGTCTATATTGTCTACCCTTCAGTTTTGAAAACCATGGTTAGGGTTAGATTTTAGAGATTATTGGCGATAGTAGATGAAATTTTGTAGGTGAAATTAGAATTATTTAAGCGTAATTTACTTACTTAAAGAATAAATATGGTTAAAGTTGGAATACGACTTGATTTGAATTACAAAATCTGGTAATATGAATGAGTAAAAAGTTGGAATCGGGAATGTAACATGTAGTGCTGTTACAAAACATCACAAAGTTAAAACAATGGTTTTGTTGAATTAATGATTTTCTTTCATACTTTCAGAAAATTCAGAAGAGGATCGATACATGAGTTTGAACCAAACGCAAAAGAATCAAACCCATAATGTCCATGGCCTACCTACATAACTTCCTGCTCAAGCTGATGTACCCTCTTGTATAGGTTAATTAACTAACAAAACAAAACAAAATGATCATTGAAATTTAATTTTATATTTAATTAGCTAATAAACTCGTATATAATTTTCTATATATTGCTTTATTAGAATGCAACAAAGATCAGTCTCATTATCCTCATCTTGATGTTCCTGGATCAGAGTATAAACCACTGAAAAACCAGGCAAACCAACTTTTCAGCCAACGTTATCAAGATTTACCTTTTTCAGCCAGTAATGGTCATCAAACTCCCACACCAAAATCTAGAACTTTAAGCCCCAATCAGAGAAAGCTTTTTGCTGAATTACAAGGTGGAAGAGGAAGCTTTCGAAAGCTTCTAGAGCCAAGCACGCTTCAGAAAACTGGGATTTCTCCTTACAGAACTGTTCTTGGGGAGGTAAAAGAAAAGGTAATTAATTGATCATCTTATTATAATGTTAATTCCAATTGGCCGGGTTCTGTTTTTTGTAAGTATTACTAATTTTTTCCACATATTTTATTTAATTTCCAACTCATGAACACTCGTAGGCATTTAGAACAGCTTCTAGAAGGTCAACAATTTACTACTTATTATTTCAGCTTATGAACACTCGTAGTCCCTTAGAGGCATGCCTTTTGTTACCCCATTAGCACCTTCAATGTACTTTGTTGTTCCGGATCCACAATTGCATGTTAAGATTGTGACCCAAATCGATTATTATTTCAGGTACCTCATTTTTAAAAAATGTAGATTAGGTTTGTTTTTTACTATCAATTTTTTTGTTTAAATGTTACATTGTAGTAATGAGAACTTGGTGAGAGATATATACTTGAAAAGAAACATGGATGAACATGGCTGGGTTCCTGCTAGCTTAATAGCAGGCTTAAAAAAAGTTAGTACTTTTGTTTCTAAAAAAACAATGATTTCTTATGAAGTTCTAATATCTTTTGTTGTATTATAGGTTTCTTATTTGACATATAACATTCAACTAATATTAGATGCTATGCGAAGTTCGACAGTTGTGGAAGTGCAGCAACCTTTTATAATATTTTAATCCCATTAATTGGATTTCTTTTACTTTCTAGTAATTTCTGTATCTTAATTTAGAAAGTGAAAGTAGTTGAATGATTTTGATGTAGGGTGAGAAGATATGGAGGCGAAATAATTCGATGAAGTGGATGATGTCTGTAGGAGGTCCATCAAGTCCTCAAGCTGCAATTGGGAGATCTTCAAATGATAATGAAGAGTTAGTGTCAAAGCTTTTGGGTGTTCATCTGGCAACTTCTCAGGAAAAATTCACTACTCATGGAGGTTCAATGGATTGAAACTTATACCAAACCTTTTAACTAAAAATTCAAACATTTTGAGAAGTCCGGTTCTTGATGATCATATTGTTGGATTAGATGTCTAAGCCTATAACTATTATTGGTATGTACTTGACCCGAGAGTAGCATGGTCCATTTGGGTTGTATATCATCAGGACAATTTGTTAGGATTGACTCTTGAGAGAACGTTATGTATGATTTATTAATATATTATAAGTTCTAATATATTAATATGAAATCATATGTTTTAATTAGTATTGATCAAGAATTAATTTGGAATTAATTTAGTGATCAAAAGAGACTAATTAAATCTATGGGGACTAATTATGGTAATTGGTTATATTTATATGTGTTGGGCTTATGATCCATGTTGGACCAAGTTTATGTATGGATACATAAAGAGTTGGGCCACATGAACCATGGATCATAAACCCATGGGTATGGGTTTGGGTTAACCAATGACATTTGGAATTCCACATATAAATATGTTACTTCATAGCCAAAATCACCACTAATGTATTCTTGGAGGATATGGACGGTTTTGGTGAGTATGAATTCTCTCTCATGTTTAATCTCTTGTCCATGATGTTTTGTGACTTCATTTGAGGCTTCCACACTATTGAGGCTAAGCTCTTAAGACCAAATACATCAATACTTCAAGCTACATAGAAAGTATGTTACTCTAACTAGTGTCTTATATGGTATATGACAATTGAATGCTAGTTATAGGATTAATGCCTTGGAAACCATTTGCATGTATAATTTGTAAAAACATAGATCCAAGGTATTTAGGGTTGTATGTGCACCATAGGATGTTGTAGTATACAAAACCCATCACATATGATATGAAGACTGGGATTTCTCCTTACGACCAGGATCCTACTGATTATTTTGTCACACCGGATCAGCTCTTGCAACCCCTCATGATCTGCTATGATTCCTTGGTATGCAAAACATCCATTCCATTTACTTCCTGACACGTGTCGACCTCCGTCAAGTTCGTTGATAGTTTGTGTTTCTATTCATATTAACTGACTATATTACCCTTTAGTCTTATAATAGTTTGTGTTTCTATTCATATTAATTGTTGAAGTTTTTGATTGATTAGGTGTCTTGATTGAACTGCAGGGGTAGTGGGTGTTAGTATTCAACATTAAGACTGTTGTAGAGTACAAACAGTCAACAACACAATTGAATAGGACAAAAGAAAAAAAAGGACTGGAGGTTCTTCAGTACCCCCTACCCCACGCTATCCCTCCCACCCCAATCGGTTTGTTTGTTTATCTAATCCAACTGAATAACAATTTTTTATGAGATTGGATTTGTGTGTTATTGTGCAGCACGTTCTGTAAAACAGAGGATAATGGAGGAATGAGCTGCTTGGGTGATGATGCTAACACTTATCCTTATGTCTCCTTCACCATTAATCTTATATGAGCCTTGTGTTGTCACCACTCTTCTCGGTTTCAACTCAATAATCTCTTCTGTATTTTAAGTTGTATTAATTCACTCATGAATTTTGCTTCATCCCGACCCTATTTTTTTCTGCTCATTACACTTGTTAATTGTTTTAGGAAGATGCAAAACGGGCACTAGATTCAAATTCAACTCCAACTCCAACTCCAACTCATTCAGAATCAGAACGTGTTCCTGTCAATGATCATAACTCCGGCCCGCTTGTCTTGTATGGTGAGTTGAGTAGTAGTAGTAGTAGTAGTAGGCTTTTTATGGTTAATTTGGTAAATTTGATATAACAGATTCATAGATGAATCCTGAGATAAGATGTAAAAGGGTTAGTTTGGAAAATGTTTGAAACTTTCAATGGTTTGATTCTTTGTGGTTAAAAATTTAAAATTTTATTTTTATTTATTATATTAAAATTTTATAATAGTTTTCATTTGAGATGACCGATGAGATTTAATTTAGGTTCATGGAAAAAGGTATTTTATAATCTACATGTGTATTAAATTTTAATATTTTATACAGGTATGGGTTGTATTGAACCCCAGATTCTTGGCAAAAGGTATTTTACTACATGTGTATTAAAATTTAATAATTTATAACATAGATTGATGATGCTTGAAGCCTTTCTGAATACTAATGTGTTGATGATGAAAACAGATATCATGTGGCAGAAGCATAACAATAAAAAGTAGAAGCAAGAAGGTGTTCCTTAATAGCAATGTACTATTAGGTTATATACTTAGGGAAAACCTCTTAATAACAATGTACAATCAGATCCCCTTAATACCAATTTATTACAATTTTTTGAGATGATGTTATTGGATGAAATTGATTGTTTTGGTATATATTTGTTTCCATATTTTTATGTTATGCGTAAATGAGTATCGTAAAGATGCGTCATAAATGTATATCGTAAATAGTTGCTGAAGTTTATGACACGCAAATGCGTGTCATCTTCATTTATGAAAGGGGATTTAATGATACGCAATGTGTCTCCTAAACGCGCGTCGTAAGGTTACGACATGCAAATGCGTGTCATCTTCCTTTATGACAGGGCCTTCCTTGACATGCAATGTGTGTCGTAAATGTGTGTCGTAAATGCGCGTTGTAATTGCATGTCGTAAAGGCGTGTCGTAAATACACGACGAGCAAAAGCATGTCGTCTTTCATTATGACAGGGCCTTCCTTGACACGCATTTGCGTGTCATCTGAGCATTTTACGACACGCATTGCATGTCGTAAAAGGCTATTTTTGTAGTACTGAAGATCTCATGAATACAATTTCATCGATATAAAGACAGATGAGAATTGAATTCGTATGAGAGAGTTATGGTTCTTATATGGATTTTAACTGTCTAAGCCCTTTAAAAATATAAAATTAAAAATATGTGACATCCCCAAATTCACGGCCATAAAAGACCGATTTGTTTATGCTTTATTTGAAAATCAGAGTATATTTTTAAAGAAATATATTGCGGAATTTGTTCCCAAAAATATGATAAAGAATTTATCAAAGCATTTCCGCAGAAATGTATTATATTAAAAAACCTCGGGATATCATTGTTAATACAGATCAAAAGCATAAACATAAACAACATAGGCCTTATAATATCTATTTATGCTAGTAACCTATAATCCATTGATCTCTCATCAGAGCATCACTCATGTGCTCTCTTGCCACTACCTGTATACGAGAAAACTGACTGGGTCAGGCTTGGGAGCCTGGTGAGCACATAGGGTTTTCAACCCACAATAATTAAGTTTATTAATTTCATCAAATCAAACAGCCAGATTTACCCGTTCCCTTTATCCTCACTTTCTGTCCCTAGAGCATCTAACGTAAGGGACCTATCCTAAGGATTTTCATCGGGATGGACACTACTGCTAAGGCGGTTCCTCAGCCATATATGTCCGTAAGGCAACCATGAGGGGGATGGAGTACACCGGTGAACATATCGTTCACAAACACCTACAAGTTGCGAGCCTGCCAGCGTTCCACTGAACTGTCTAGAATAGTCCGTGGTCGTCATCTATACTCCTCTAGATGACTAGATCATCGTAAAAATCGAGGCCTCTCATCATTTTATTTCATCACACACCAACTATTTCATCTACCCATGTTTTACCCCAACATATTTGTAGATATAAAATACATATACAGTTTAAATCATTTAAAACATGTATAAAACGTTCATCCAGCATAAATATCAGGTAAACTGATAGCATGCACACATAGCACGTAATTTATATAAAATACTTCATATAGATGTGTAAGATGAAAGGAACTATGCACTCACCTTAGTAGCGTGAGTCTAACTAGAAACAGTCAGTGGTTCGTGATCAATGGCTTCAGCAAACGAGAGAGAGAAAGAAGGTTTAGGTGTAAGGAGAGCAAGGGTCGAACTTGCTATTTATAGGCTGCCCAACAGATGTCCACGTCGTGGCCTTATATGTCCAAGTCATGGCCTTATATATCCACGTCGTGAATCAAAGCTGCATCACCTCGTAGACTTGCCATTTGGGTCCTAGCTTCAGAAGGTATGAAAATACTGACTTCACGTCGTGACCTTTATGTCCACATCGTGGAGTCTTAACACATCACTCCCGTAGACTTTCGATCTGCATTCTAGCCTTGAGAAGTGTCCTAGATCACATTCACATCGTGAATCTTATGTCCACGTCGTGGAGCATGGCTGATTCGGGTTTCTACCACGTGTCATGCTCTTAGACTGCTACATCTTTGGAAGGTCATAACTTTTGCATACGAACTCCATTTTTTGACGTTCTTTATATCCACGTGTAGATGGAGACGTACTCTACAACCTTATTTTAGATCACTAAGGCTAAAAAGTACTTTATCGTAAACTCACTTTTGACGATTCCCGGTGTCGTACCGGTTTTGTCGCGAAACTTCGACAGGTCATAACTTCTTCGTTACAACTTGGATTTCGGCGTTCTTTATATCACCGGAATCCTTGTCCCGACCACTACAACTTTCTTCATAGATATTGGGTATGTCTATTATTTTATTTTTGACGCTAATTTTTATTCTTAACTTATTATATCTTATAAATAAGTATAATGCACATAAAATCACATAATATTCAAATAATTTCTCTTTATTACTTCAAAGTAGGTTATAATTGTTGACCCTAACTATTACACCATTATCCAAATGCTTAACCTAGAAACACGGCCGTTACAAAATAAAGTGAGAATTAACCGACGTAGTCTAAATAAATATTGTAGAAATCTTCGATATCTACACGTGTATATAAAGAACGTCGAAATTGAAGTTCGTATGAGAGATATACGATATTTATAATTTTTCGTAATGCACAACACACAGGGTAGGTGGCACGGCGCGCGGTACTTCTAGAAGCACCAATGTGGACTAACATGACAATGACAAGTGGCAGTAGGGGGGAGCCGACCATGTCACCAGATGCGGCACCCCCTAAATTACTGTAATTAGTTTGAAAAATCCACTCTTTCTTCACAAATTTCTTATTCTTCTTTCATTTTCTCTCAAAATT